CCCCGACCCCCTCACCCCGACCCTCTCCCCTACCACCACCGCCAACGTCGCCCCGCCCTCCACCAACCCCACCTCCCCCTTCCCCCCCCCCCCCCCTTCCCTTATCCCCCCCCCCCCTTTTCCCCCCCCCCCCAACCCCCCCTCCCCCGCCCCCACCCCGCTCACCACCTCCCCGCCGCCGCTCTCCTTCTCAACCGCCAACCGCCCCCTCTTCCATCGCACCCTTCTCATGCTGCCCCCGTCTCTGGAATCATTTCGCGGGAGCGCGCGTCGCGTCCGTTCCCCTGGCGTGCCTGCAAGCGTGGCCAGAGGGGTTCGGCGTCGCCCGCGGACTCGAACCCCCCCCCGTTCCCCCTCACCCCCTTTCCCATCCCCCTCCCACCACCACCGCCACGCACGCGCACCCGCCCACTCACCCACCCACCCGCCCACCCACCCACCCACCCACCCACCGCCCATCCACCCACCCACCCGCCCACCCACCCACCAACCCACCCCACCACTCACCCCCCCACCCCCCCCACCCCCCCACCCACCCCCACACGCACAAACCACACGCAACACACGCACACACACACACACACAACACAGCACACGCACGCACACACAACCACACGCACACCACGCACACCACGCCCACACCCACACACACACACACACTCCACACACCCCACGGCACGCACGCACGCACGTGCACGCACACACGCGCACACACACGCACACACACACACACCACACGCACAGACGCACGCGCGAACGCACACCCACACACACACACACGCGCGCGCACACACACCCACACACTTCTTACACTTACACACGCACACACACACATGCACACCCACACACACAACCACACACGCACACACACACACACGTACCACCATTATTCAAACCACCACCACCACCACCACGATCATCACACACCCACCAACACACACACACGCGCACAACCACACACACGCAAGCACGCGCACACGCACACGCACACACACACACCACCACCACGACCACTTCCGCCATCATGAACCCCCCCCCGCCCCCCCCTCCCCGCACCGCCACCGGCACGCGCGCGTGCACATGCGCACCACCCGCCCAAACGCCCGCAAATCGTCCACTGCCAAATGGGCGCTCCCGCACCTGGCAGACGATGCGGCCTTCTGGGGTGCGCGCTAACTGTGGGCGCCCATTTGGCAGTGGGCGGCTTGCGGGCGGTTGGGGCGGTGGTGCGCATGTGCATGCGTGCGTGGTGGTGTTGGGGGGGTGGGGGGGGGAGGGGGGGGGGGCGGGGGAGGGTGGTGGTGGTGTGGATGATGGTGGTGGTAGTGGTGGTGTGCGTGTGTTTGTGGGTGCATGTGGGTGTGTGTGTGCATGTGTGTGTATGTGTGGGTGAGTGTGGTGGTGGTGTGCGTTGGTGGGCGCGTGTGTGTGTGTGTGTTCGATTGTGGTAGTGTGCATGTGTGTATGTTTGTGTGTGTGTGGGTGGTTGTGTGTGGTGTGTGTGTGTGGTTGTGTGTGGTTGCGTTTGGTTGGTTGGTTGGTTGGTTGGTGTGTGTGCGTGCGTGTGTGTGTGTGTGTGCGTGTGTGTGTGTGTGCGTGTGCGTGCGGGCGCGCGTTTGCGTGTTTGCGTGCGCGTGTGCGCGCCTGTGCGCGCGCGTGCGCTTGCGGGCCCTGCGGGGCCCCATGGTGGACTCAATAAGGGACCCTGTGGTGGGCCCACAAAAAGGCCCAGTGGGGCGCTACAGGATGAAGGCACCACGAATGCCCCATGGGAAAGCATAGCATGGTTTTGAACGTGATCTGCCCTCTATCCCCGACCGCTCGTCAACGCGAACTGGTATTGCGTGGCCCGAGATCGCAGGGCAGCAGGGCCTCAGGGCCCCAAGGCATCGCTGGACCTCGGCCAGCACGACATCGCGGGGGAGGGGGTCCCTGGGTCCGTGGGTCCCGCGTTTGTTGGAGGGGGTCCCTGGGTCACGCGTTAGCGCGGGACTGGCCGTTCGTTTACCCTCCCCCCCCGTTGCACCTCCCGTAGCCAGTTGTGCTCGCGCGGTTCGGTTCCAGGTGAGTTCGATTTCAGACATCTGCGCGCGAGGTCTCATTCCAGCGATGTCGGTCCACAGCGTTCATTCAGACGACGGCAGCTGCTCCGAGGGGAGCCCAATGACGGGCAACTCAGGTTTCGGCCCCAAGCGTCGCCGCTCGCTCTCAGAGCGTCGGACGGCACCTCCGCAGGAAGCGTGGAGAGCAGCGTATGATGACCCGAATGACAAGCAGGAGTATGCGGATACGGGGCCGACAGCCAGCTCGGGGGCTCCAGAGCCGCAGGAAGCAGCTGAGGCAGAGGGCTCAGCGAGCAACGCGGCGCCTGCGGAGCTCCCGATGCGCGCGGCGCCATCATCGGCGTCTGGTTTACCTGCCCTGCCACGGACCGATGGGTCGGATTTCACGGAGGAGAGGTACATGAAGAGCATCGTGCACCAGTACGCCGACTTCAGCAGCATGCCTCCGCATGTCCTGAGCGTCTTCCAGCGCCTCCGCCCGTGCGAGTTCGCGTCCGACGGCCAACGCACTGTCTACGTCAAGAGGGCGAGGTACACTGTGCGGTACACGGTGGAGGGGGATGTTCGCCACAGCTCTGAGTAGTTGGATAGTTGGATGCCTTCGTGCGTGGTGCTGCGCCAGAGTGTGCCGTAGCATGAGACAGTGGGCGTATGTTAGCGCCAGTGCCAGTGCAGACCCTTCAGAGAAATGATTAAATTGGCAGCGCATTTGAGTTGACATAGCACGTTCTGATTCTAAAAATGATTTGATCGACTCATTGCGCGTTGTAGTGGGCTGTGCCGAGTCTGCAGGGTCACGAGCCGTAGCTAGCGAGAATATGTGGCCAATGTGTTGCGGTCAATCTCAGAGGGGACGTTTTCTCCGAGCCCACCTGGGGCAGAAAGAGAGATGCCCGCAGCAGGGCCTTCCCGGCAGGTGCCGCTGGGAGGAGGGGTCGAGAGGTCCGGGGCATCGGCCACTGGCCAGCCTGAGGTGTCAAGGCTCGAAGATGGCCCTGACTCGACGCCCGCCCGCGGCGCGGGAAGGAGAAGGACGAGGAGGGGGAGGGGGGGGGGAGGGCGAGGAGGAGGAGGAGGACAAGGAGGAGGATGAGGAGGGCGTTCACTGCGCATGGCTGTTCTCGGGCTCCATGCCCAGTAAGTGTTACACGCAGTGAATAATAGAATTGTTGACGCTTCGCGAATCCCCACCAGCCCATCCAGAAACGATGCCCAGAGGAATCGCCTCGATCAGGGAAGTGGGCAGCGCGCCGAGGAAGCCATTATGAGACATCTTGGGGTATCTTGAGTCATCGTGGAGGTCATGTTGGGCTCTCCAGGCGCTCATCGAGCCATCTTAATCAGTGCCCCCCCCCCAAAGAGGCCACCGTGTGGCTAACGGCGAACACCTTCGTAAACTCAATGGTTTGGCATTCTCGCCGAGGCCTCTTGGAGCATCGTGGGTGCTTCTGGGTGATCTCTTGGGGCCTCCTGGGGGTCTCTTGGGCGCCTCCTGGGGGCTTCTTGGGGGTCCCTTGGGGGCATCTTGGGGCCATCTTGGGACCTCTCGGGGCCTCCTGGGCGCTTCTTGGGGCCATCTTGGAGGAGATCGATCACACGAGAGGGGAGCTTGGATTAGGCCCCCCCCCCCCTCAGGAGACCAACACGAGGACACAATCACAGTGCAACCAATGAGTGTGGCTTCCTCGCCGAGGCCGTCTTGGACGCCCTGGCACCTCGCGACCCCCCCCCCCCCGTCCAGGCCCAGGGGGGGGTAGGGGGAGGGGTGGCCCCCTACCCGAAGGGGAAGAATCAGGGGTGGAAGAGGGAACTTTCTAAACCACCGACGCCCAGAGGGCTGGTGGGATTATTCTTGACGCTTCGCGTGTCCCCACCAGCCCATCCAGGAACGACGCCCAGGCGCGTCGAGGTGAGCAGGGAAGTGCGGGAGGCCCTCTTGGGCCCCCTGATGGGCCCATAAGATGGTTCCAAGAGGGCCCTAAGAGGGCCCCAAGAGGGGCCCAAACGGGACCCACGAAACCGCTGGTAGGTCTCATCGAACAGCGCATCTGGATGAGACCTCCCAGTGGTCTCTGGGGCGCGTCTTGGAGCCCTCTTGGGGCCCTCTGGGGGCCCTCTGGGGCCCCTGGTTGGCCCATGAGGTGGCTCCAAGAGGGCCCTAAGAGGGCCCCAAGAGGGCCCCGAGAGGGCCCCGAGAGGGCCCCGAGAGGGTGTCAAGAGGGCTCCCTGGGGTTGTCACGCAGGGCCCCTTCCTGTGACAACACCTTACGATCTTTAGAAGACCACAAGAGGACCTCAGGAGGGCCCCAAGAGGGGCCCAAGAGGGCCCCTAAGAGGGCCCCAAGAGGGCCCATAGAGGTCCCAAGAGGGCTCCAAGAGGGTCACCTCGGGTTGTCACGCAGGGCTCCTTCCTGTGACAACCCCTGCTGGCGGCCTTTGAAGACCCCAAGAGGACCCCAGGAGGGACCCAAAGGGGCCATGCAGGGGCCCCAAGAGGGCCCCAGAGCGCCCAAGAGGGCCCCAAGAGCCAAGAGGGCCCCCTGGGGTTGTCACGCAGGGCGCATTCCTGTGACAACCCCTTGCTGTCTTAAGAAGACCCCAGAAGGACTCCAGGAGGGCCCAAGAGACAAGAGGTCCCCAAGAGGGCTCAAGAGGGCCCAAGAGGGCCCTGAGAGGGCCCCAAGATGGCTTCAAGAGGGCTCCCTGGGGTTGTCACGCAGGGCCCCTTCCTGTGACAACCCCTTGCGGTCTTTAAAAGGCCCCAAAAGCACCCCGGGAGGGCCCCAAGAGGGCTTTACTAAGAGGGTCTCCGTCGTAGCTTTTGGCTCAGGCATTAGATGACGATCTTGAGTGGACCCGCCTGAGCCAGCCGCTGTAGGCTTGGTGCTGTCACACTGTCCAGCGATCAGCGCTCCGAGCTCCGAGCGCGCCGCCAGGATGGGCAGGAAGCGTGCTGCCAGCGCGGCCGTCCCAGCCGCTGGCGGCCCCTCTGGGGGCGCCGGCGGCCGCGGAGCGCGCGGCGGCGCTCGCGGTCGGGGCAGCGGGCGTGGCAAGCGCGCCAAGACGGCATCAGCGAGCGAGAGGGAGGCGACCTTGGTGGGGCCGCTGGTGATCAGGAAGAAGACTACGGACACCAGTGGCGGAGGAGTTTGCGGGCGCTGCGGGGCCACTGAGAGCAGTGACAACCCCTTCCCCGACGTGAAGATGCCCAACGAGCAGATCCAGAAGTTCGCCCACGCGTGCTCCTACCACTTCTGCGGCTACGTGAAGGGCAAGTTCTGGATGGACTTCAACTGGTCTTCGATGTGTGCCGCGTGCGAGCAGGGCGAGGAGCTTGCCGAGAGCTTCGAGGCGGCCTGCGAGACGATCGACGGCAGTCGCGAGGCCTCCTCCCTGCCGCAGGCCGTATCGACGGACCACCAGACAGGCATCATGGTCTTTTCAGACTGCATCTTGATCACGGAGAAGCAGTGCCAGGCCGACATCGCCCCGACAGGGGCTTCCGCCTTGCTGCCGTCTCAGGCTGGCGAGCGCGAGACGACGCTCCAGAACGAGATGAAGGGCGAGTCCGTCACAGGAATCTTGGCGAGGGACCCGCAGTCGCCCTACCTCAAGGTGCGCAGGTTCAGCACGGTGATGGGCAGCCGCGTCGAGAAGGCGCTGGGCGCAGAGGACTACTGCAAGGGCGGCGCAGGCATCGCTTGCGAGGACGTGATCAACAGGCTGCTGCGGGAGGGGCTGCCCGTCTCATTGAGGGGGCACGTCGACATCCCTACGGTGTCCGAGCTCAAGCTTCGAGCCGTCGGCGCAGCCAGGGCGCTCGGGCTGGTCGGGTCCGATGGGCCTCACGGGCTCTCCCAGGTGGCAGGCGGGGGCCCGCTCGCGATCGCTGACGCAATCGTTGACGGCACCGTCGGCGACTCAGGGCTTGCTGCACAAGGGCCACGCGGCGGCCAGGCGACTGGCAGTGGCGGGGCTGTCGTTGCCCAGCAGCCCGAGTCCGAGGCGTGCGGACATGTTCCTGACGGACTCGACGGAGATGGTGCAAGCGTTCCGAGGCTCGATGTGACTGCTGAGCCGTCGGTCGCGGGCAATCGCAGCGACCGTCGAGGAAGCGCAAGCGCCGCGGCGTGCCAGACGCCACCGTCCGCCAAGGGGAAGACCCCGCCAGCCGATGCGAAGGAGAGGGATCGGTACCAGGAGATCGTCGCCAGCATCAACATGGGCCTCCTCTTGACGAAGGGCGCCAACCGCAGCATCGGCGATCGCATTTACGCCTTGAAGCGCTTCAAGCCGAAGAGCGAGCTCATCGAGAGCCTCCAGCGGACGGCACTCGCCGACATCGAGACCTGCACCTCTCTCGGTGGCAACGCGCTGGGGGTCATGTCGCTGGACACGCGGGTCCGCTTGCTCCAGAAGATCAGGCACGTGAAGCTCGACGGCGCCGGGTCGTGGATGATCAACTTGTGCGCGGTGGCGACCAGGGAGGCCAACGATCCGAGCATCAAGGTTGACATCGCACTGCCGTGGAAGTCTTATACGGTGGGCGGCTCCCAAGCTGATGCCAACATCTGCCCCCTTAGTGTCGTTTAAGTCGTTCCCCATCCTGCCGTGCCCCCAGACTGCTCACTCCCCCGACGTACCTCCTCCATTCTCACCTCCGACCTCCTTCCACCCCCCACTTCGATGATGCTGGCGTCGGCGAGGGAGGCCCCGAGGTTGGAGATTTCCAGCCGCTGGCGCCGTCGATGGCAGAAGTCGGCATCGCAGCTGACCGCATCATTGACGAGGGCAGGGATTTCTTCATCAGCAACGTGGTCTTGCCTTTGACTCGGGCGGACGTAGTCGACACGGAGTACATGAGTGCCTTGGTCAGTGCCCTCCTCGTGCGCGTCGGCGACCAGGCGATCCGCGAGGAGGCTGGCCCGTGCAAGAACCTCGCCTACGAGATCTTCGTGTTCACCGAGGCCGTTCGCGTGTTGCTCGACTCATTACCCACGGCGCTGCTGGAGTGCACGTGCAGGTCTGATGTGCGCAAGCTCCTGCGAGAGGAGTTCGGGGCGACGTGGCGCACCGTCGTGACCACCTTCGGTGCTGAGTGGCAGGAGGTGCTGGCTGAGTAGAATCGCGCCTACTTCTCCGACGTGAAGTACGGGGAAAAGGTCAATCACGTCATGGATATCGTATCGGGGCCCACTCCCATTAGCGATGCTAGCATTCAGGATGTCATTGGCAATCTGCTGGAATGGGGCGCATTCCTCCGCAAGGGCGCCGCTTCTGGCATGCTGGACTCGTTCCACGAGCAGGTGGTCGGGTGGATTGGCGTCCAGACCGCCCAGCTGGAACAGGGAGGACACACGCCGACCATGGACTTCTCGAAGGGCCTGAACTTGAAGCTCCTCGAACTCATCTCCGAGATGCCGAAGATCCGCGGCGTGGACGAGGTCGCCATTCAGAAGTTCAACAAGCTGCAGAGCAACGTGGAGGCGATGGGGTCTAAGTTCCACATCCACGGCCAGGCTGCCAAGCTTCGCGAGGCGTGCTCACAGTTCGACCCTTCTGACGCGAACTCCGTGAAGACCATCACTGGCGCGCTGAACTCCACTATGGGCGAATTGTTCGGTTCACAAGCTTGCGTGGCCGCGATGGGTTCTTGCGCCCAGGTCTGCTTGTCGCACGCTGCAGCTGTGGGTGCCGACTCAGTCAAGAGATGCGATTTCACGTCGAACTTAGCCGACTATGCCGAGAAGATAAAGACCATCGCGATGATTGCCACCGAACTCTTGAACCGCATCCTCGATCCCAACGCTGAGGCCAAGCATATGATGACTACGTGCAAGTGCTTGCGCATCCTGCTGACCCTGATGGTTCAGGTCGGGGAGCTTGTCCAGGTCGAGCCGTTCTCCGAGGTTCCCGCGGATGCGTTCGAGAAGCATCTTTCGGCATGGGTGTGCGAAGCATTGCCACGCACTGTCTTTGGGGTGGGTGCTGGGGAGGGCCAGGTTCTTGGCTGGATGCGAGATATGTGGTTTGGTTTTGACGTCGTCCTGGTGCTCGGGGGTTCTTGGCCCCCGAGCTTTGGATGGGCAGGCGCCAGTGCCAGGGGGGGGGAGGGTGGCAGATGCTGGCAATGCTTCCCCCGCCTTGAAAGGGGTGGCAGTTGGTAAAATCAGGACTGGCTGCCTTTTTGGAGATTGGTGCAAAGGCAGAGGTGAACGATGCTGTCATCGAGGCGTCGGCCGATGACAACCCAGCTCAACCAGGCAGTCCGACAGCCCCGCGCGGCTCGAACCTCGAGGACTACAAGCCTGCCCCCGCCATGCTGGAGTTCGCGGGTTTGGCGGAGTCCGTTGCCCAGAAGGCCCGCGTCGTGATCAAGGAGTTCTCGACGGCATACTGGGATGCGCCCCACGAGGCAGGCTTGAACATCTTGGCGGCGCTGGCCGACTGCAAGGGGGGGGGTGTTCAACAATGGCGGCGAGCACTGGTCGAAGGGCGCGGAGCTTGAGACCTGGGAGCAGTTGTCCGACCACGCGAAGCGCACGCTCTTCAAGCAGAAGGGGATCACGGTCACGGTGCGCAATCGCGAAAAGGCGTTGCACAACCACATGGTCTCGCTGAAGGAGATCGCTGCTGATCACGGTGCCAAGGATCAGTACACAGAGTTCGAGAAGAAGGCGAATGCCGTCACCGGCATCACTAACGCTAGCATGTTCGAGGCGCGGCTGCTGCGAGCGATGAGGGGGGCCAAGAAGGCGGCCGACGTCAAGGAGACGCTCTTCGCGTTCAGGGATGAGCTGCACGACGCGAAGCTGTTCAGCGAGAAGGACGTGCACCCGATGGTCACCATGAAGTTCGAAGCAATGCAGGTGGAGGCCAACAACGAGCAGCACTGAACGGGCGATGCGACGCTCGCAGGTGGATGCTCGCAGGTGGACGGGCTCGAGGAGGCACGCCGCCTCTGGGCCCCCAGCCAGGAGGATGAGGAGGAGGAGGACGAGGACGGGGGGGGGGGGATGATGAGGGGGAGGAGCAGCAGCAGGGGGGGGGAGGGGGCGGAGGAGGGGGGAGGATAAAGGCTGGAGAGGAGGAGGGGGGAGGAGGAGGAGGAGGAGGAGGAGGTAGGAGGAGGGAGGAGGAGGGAGGAGGAGGAGGGGGGGGAGTGAGGGAGGAGGGAGGGAGGGGGAGGGAGAAGGAGGGAGCGCTGCTTGAGCAACGTTGGCGGTGCCCTTTCTTCGAGCGGCACCGTGTCAGAGGAGGTCCGCCGCTCGCGCGATCGGAGAGGAAGTCGGCATCGCCCTCATCATCCACCTCCCCCTCCGCCCTCCCTTCCCCCACTCTTCACAATCCGTGTCCATCTTCCACTTCGTCCGCCTCGGCGTTCTTCTCGTAGCCACCCCGCTTCCCCCACCGCCGTCCGTCTCATCATCCCCATCCCCCCGCCTCCAGCATCATCATCATCGCATTTGTTTCGCCGCTGCTACTGGCTCAAACTTAACGTTGCATATCGCAACGAGGTCAACCACGTCACAAGCAACAATGCCAGCCCTGAGTTCTAATCTGACCGTGAGCTTGGAAACGGTCGCAGGTCTGACTCGCATTCAAGTTGCGATCCTGGCCGCAACCGCTGTCTTACCAGGCACCTTTCACCAAGTGTGAACCTGCACCCCAGTCGACTGCCGACCAATTGCTCTAGCTATGATGTTGGCCCTGGCCCAACTCTGGGCAGCAGCGCCGCGCAATTCGGCCAGTCGCGACAGCGATGCCTGACCATGGCCCGCCAGCAACACCAGATCCAGATTGGCAACCGTCGCGCACAATCGGCCGCGCACCCCGCATGTAGCACGAATCGCAAACAATCGCGTGGGCCGCAACGCCATCTAAACCAGCCTACCCCGAGTCGCCGCGCCCTCCCAACACCAACGCATCGGGCCAGGCGGGCGTGGCCGAATGTCGGCGCTGTGCGGCGCAGAGCCAGCGCCGCCCCCGCGCCGCTGCCGAGACAATGTCTCGCGCGCGCGTCCACGCGCGAGGCAGTCGTCGTGGGAGCGGCGTTGCCCGAGAGGGGCGGCATTGGGTTCGAGGGGGAACGCCGTCGCCCTCAACGGCTGCGTTGCCATGGGCGCGACGTGGCAACAATGCGCGCATTTCGCCATGGGCTGGACCGTGACCGACGGTGCAGCGGCATTCAGCAAGCACTTGGTTCGTTGCGGTGCGCCCTTGCGTGGTTTGTTGGTTGTGCTCGTAAATCGAGCGCTGGCGATAACTGTTGCCCAACCATGTTTCCCCGCGCCTGCGCCCGCGCCATGTCTCATCGGCAACCCGCGCAGCCTAGAGCCCGTTCGCCAATTGTCCTTGAACATGGGCTCCGCGTGCGCCGCCGCGGCCCGAGTTCGATCTCCAAGCCGCGTCTAGGTTTTGGCCATTGCCCTACCATCGCCGTGACGGCGAACGCTGTCCAAACCCGAACACCAATTTAGATGCCACGTTCGTTGCGCTCGAGGCAGTGGGCCATCACCAGCCAGGACAAAACCCCGCTTGCCAGCGCCACGCGAAACCACTGTCATTAATTCCAGGGTTTGCACCCCAGTCAAGATATGGCGCTGGGCCCCGCAAAATGGGAAGGCGTCCGATGTAAGTGGCATCTGGTTTCTTTCGCATCGCCCATGGCCTTCCGTTCGTCAGCGGGCTGCTCTTCACGCGTGGCATGCCAGCCCAGCGCTAGTGAGGGCGCGTGGAATGCATGGCTTCGTTGGCTGATTCGAATTCAAGGAGCGATTTCGCCCGCGGCCGCCAACGTTCTCAAAACGCATAGCGGCGCGGATAAAACGCAGTCGCGCCAAGAAAACGCATAGATATGCGCGGGGCAACGTGTGTGACAAAATCTCATGCGTGCCAGCCGTAGCCGCATGCAACTTCACACATCGATCAAATAATTTCGTCTGCGAAAATTGTAAAAAGTTGCCCATCAAAGATTTCTCAATGTGAACAACAAGTAAAACACGGCCACCAAAAATCAACAACGCCACAACCCATCAAAACCCATCTCCCAGAGACCCCACAGGAAGGCCCGAAAGAAAGACCCAATCGTAGGATACGCTTCTGTCGTCGTCGTCGTCGGCGTCAACGTCGTAACCGCCGCAGTTGCCCCGGCAATCGTTGTCGCATCTGTATATGTATATGTATATGTATATGTATATGTATATGCATGTGTATATGTATATGTATATGTATATGTATATGTATATGTATATGTATATGTATATGTATATGTATATGTATATGTATATGCTTATGTTTATGTATATGTATGTCTGTGTATATATATATAGATATATATTCCGCCGCAGTCGTCGATGTAGTCGTTCGTGTCGTCGTCTACGCTGTCGTCGTCGTCGCAGCCGTCGTCTATCGTGGATCGACGATCGAGGCTCGAGTTGGTTTTGTCTGTCTTTCTGGGCCACTTCTGGACGCGAGCTTTCCTGGGGGCTCACGGCTACCCCGGCGCTGGCTCCTGGGAGGTATTTTTCTCACTTCCCATCCTGGACGCTTGAGCTAACCTGGGGGGCCACGGCTACCCTGGCGCTGGCTCGTATGTTACGCTTCTGTCGCGCTCGTCGTCGGCGTCAACGTCGTAACCGCCGCAGTCGTCCCTGCAATCGTTGTCGTCTGCGTCCCTCGCTGTCGTCTTCCTCGTCGTCGTCGTCGATGTCGTCTGCGCCCGCGCTGTCGTCGTCGTCGTAGTCGCAGCCGTCGTCTTTGGTGGCTCGGCGGTCGAGGCGTTTTGATGATGATGATGATGATGGTGGTGCTGATGATGCTGATGATGATGCTGATTTTGATGATTATGATGGTACGGATGATGATGATGCTGCTGTTGATGAGGATGATGATGATGCTGGTGGTGGTGATGATGATGTTGATGACGATGATGATGATGATGATGATGATGATGATGATGATGATCATGATGATGATGATGATGTGATGATGATGATGATGATGATGATGATGATGATTGATGATGATGATGGTGATGATGATGATGATGATGATGATGATGATGATGATGATGATGATGATGATGATGAGGATGATGATGATGATGATGATGATGATGATGATGATGATGATGATGATGATGATGATGATGATGATGATGATGATCTCGGGCCGTTTACGAAATGGAGGTTTTTCCACCGCCAATCCTCGGGGGTCTGAGTCCTTGCGCGTGGCCAGAGGCTGTCGTTTTCGCATTCCTTGTTTTGCCGATCGGCGCGGTCCCTGCACCCCTCCCCATGAAACATATCGTGGCTGCTCTTGCCGCCCTCTTCGCGCAGGTGGAGGGTGGAGCCTCCCCCCCACAGGACGCACTATTGCAACCTGTCGCGCCAGGCAGACCCCCCCTTGCCTCTCCTGTAGAGGGCCGCGCCCGACTTAAGCCCAATGTCGAATCGCCGAAGCAGACAACGCTCACGAGCCCAGCGGCGGCGACCCCCCGCTGGAGGGTGGGAGGGAGAGAGGGGGGAGGGGAGGGGGAGAGGAGGAGGGAGGAGAGGAGGAGGGGAGGCGGAGGAGGAGGAACTAGGGAGGAGGAGGAGGAGGAGGAGGAGGAGGAGGAGGAGGAGGAGGAGGAGGAGGAGGAGGAGGAGGAGGAAGAGGAGGAGAAGGAGGAGGGGGCCCCGCCGGGCGGCCGGCCAGTTTTGGGGTCGTTTTGGAGCGCGCTTGGAGCGATCTTGGGCGATCTTTGAGCCGTGCCTTCTTGGGGCCATCTTGAGGGTTCAGAGGCCCATCGGGAGCGAAAAGGGGAAAATGCCAAACATTTCGATGTCCCCAGGGCTGGCCAAGGATTTTGACCTCGTCGAGAGTGCCGAAGAGAGCTCGGCGGGCACTTGGATCCATATGGGAG